TGTATCTAACTAATTTATTTGATTAAAGCACTAGTTAAAGAGTCTTTTTGCATGAATTGATACACAATTGCATATTCCTTTCTGGTAGCCTCTGCCTGACTTCGCAATTACACAACTCTAAAATAAGTCATAACCCCATATTCTTCACTAAAAGGGTAGATAATATTGACTCTGAAAGAAAGTTGTTGGGTTTTTTTTAGATGGATGCATGGGAACCTCCAATGTGTGAGACTTTAACATCCATCAAAACACATGTCAATCAAAATCAAGGTCAAACAATTCCCAAACTGTTACAAACATCACAGTCATCAATCTTTCACTCTCACTTTAACTCCTGTTTTCTCTTTTCTCTTGTCAAGTCAGGATACGGTTCAACACACAGCATACATGCATAAATGCATGCTTGAATAAAAGTGTGTGTTTGGGTGTGTATATGTGTGTCTGTATTAGAATGAGGATGTGAGGATAATTTAATTATGGAGCAGATAGAGCGGGTTACTGAGGTTAATATCCTGCATGCACTCTGCTCTCTCCGGACACAGTAATTGCTTTAAGCACATTAGAAACTTTATTGACTGCGATGGCCTTTTAAGACATTACATTTCTACTGCTTAGTGTCAGACAGGAGTCGTCCAGCCCCTGTGTACTGTCTCTGCCCCCCTCTATCTCTGTCTTCCTTCCCCTCCTTACACTCCAGCATGCCCTCTTCTCACCCCGTAACTCCCTCCCCTCTGCATGCGTCTCCCTGTTTAATTGAAGGCTCTGTAAATATGATGAGATTTGTATAGCGCCTCATCCGTAGAGACGGCTTGACGAGGTTTGATTGGCAGGTGATTAACTCCTCTTAACCCGCAGAATCATTTGTCCTCGGAGGAACAGTTACTCTAATGACACCATAAAAAGGCTTCTTGATGTGTCAAACTCTGGAGCGGAGAGCTTCCAACAACTTCTTGGAAAAAGTACAGCCCACTCACTTCTCTTTTTCTCAGCTGAGATCAATCCTCTCAGCACTCCTTCTGTAGAGCTCACCATTTTCAGTCAACTAAACCCCTTAATGAGGATGGAGGTGAATGCAAGGAGTTATTAAAAAGCCCTCACCTTCCTCCTGGGAGCGCTACAGAGAAATTATATGCAACTAAGTGCACTTACAGCCCCAGTAAGAGTTATTTCACATTTCTGTTGCCATAAATCCACGTTCAATCCAGTCACGACAAGGGTGGAAAATTATTCCTGGCCCAGAAATAATTTTGTGTTCCTTTCTTTTTTAAAGAGATCCACTGGAAGATTTTCATTAGGGGCTTCAGGTGAGGGGAAAAAATGAAAGTTACAGATTGGAGGGGAAAGAGGAGGGGATGGGAGACAGAGAGAGAGAGAGAGTAATGGAGAGAAGAGGAGAAGAGAAGAACGATGTCGCAGCTGACAGGGAGGGGAGCCAAGCAATAAGTACAGCACATATAGCCAATGTGCAGAGATAAATGATGTAATATCTGCATGGATCGATGTCTGTACTGTCCCTCTAAAAGGGGCTCTCTCTATAAATTACTTCACCATCCCTCCCCCTAAAAGTGCACGCGCACGCACACTGAAATATACACACTGACAACACAGACTCACACAAATCCACACACTCCACAGCTATCTCAATTAGTAAGAATGAAGATGTATGGCTGTAAACTCTCAGTGCCTCACGACCACTATGTAAATGTCTTCTTGCAGCTGTCCGGTTCCATCACTGTGCAGATTGTAGGACGAGGCAGGGATGGAATCAATTTGTTAAGATAGCACTATCCAGCTAATGAGAAATCAAGTGGCTTGACTTTTCACATGAATCCCATCATGTCCACTCATATTATGAAACTAAGATTTCATTAGTTGCACTTAGTGTGACTAATAGTCCAGCCACATTCTTGTTTCAGTGTCTTTGCTAACAGTCCCACCTTGTGGCAGATAAGATAGTTACACTTGACAGGATCTCCGATTAGGGACAGTTTTCAGCTTCTTATGTTCGTCTCTCATATTATTTAAATGTAGCTCTCTAAAATAAGTGGTATATCAACAGAAGCATTTCAAGCCTGAGATTTGTATTTCACATACTCTCTTTGTATACTTATAATGATGTAGAAAACGTTTTACACAAAGTCCAATTACTCAAGTGTGCCTGTGTGTGTTAGTGTGTGTGTGTGTGTGTGTGTGTGTGTGTGTGTGTGTGTGTGTGTGTGTGTGTATGTGTGTGTGTATGTGTGTGTGTGTGTGGGGGGGGGGGCACTAATATTTGAATAATCTATGAGGCTTAATAAGAACCTAATGTATACACAGGGCAATTACTGCCTTGATGTCACAAAATCTCTTGGTTCATTTATTTTCACAAAAAAAAATGACAAGTATTTAAAAATGAATCACAAAATTTGCATACACACACACACACACACACACACACACACACACACACACACACACACACACACACACACACACACACACACACACACACACAGACACACACATTCCTTTGGTACCAACAGTGGACTTTCAAGCTAAATTGATCGTGTTGGAGACTTCTGTTTCTGGACAAGAATGTAAAACCATAGATTAAATTTAAAAATCTTTCACCAGTTCTACAGTCCTACAGTTTTGATTTTAATTTCGGGTTTCGGAAAAGAATAAAAACATTACTGAAAGACAATACCTGTCAGAGCAATGTAACGCTCAAACACATTCATGGTTATGGTACTAACAGAGGAATATTGGGCTAGTGACCAAGTGTGAATCTCAGTTTCTAAAAAAAATAAAAAATACAGTCCTAAATTTACTTTAAAATCTAATGTAACACTAATGTATTAAAACAATTAAAATCACATTATGATGGATATAACATGTACACACACATACAGTAAATGTCTATGGTACCATCAGTGGACTATCAAGCTTGACCAAGTGGAGACTTGTGGTCAATTCAAAATACAAAAGTAAATTAACCTTAAATACCTAAAATCAATAAAGAACCTCAATTGTGTTTTCCAATTTTCACACTCTATTCATGTTTAAACACACCAGCAATGTTTCAGTCAATGTAAATGTCTACTTGTAACCACTGTGTGTTCATCTGTGCCACTCTGCGGTGTTTGCACTGATGGCTCATAAATAAAAACATGCTGATAGTTAAATCTCTTTGGAAGCTGGAACATGAAGTGACATTCAGCTTAATATGAGTCCATCAACAAGCTTTATGTGAGATCATAATTAATTGAATTCACAGCATGAATCAGCTGCATCAGCTGCCAAGACAGAAAAAAATAAAAAAGCATGGAAAGAGATGATTCATCAAGAGACAGAGTTCACAGTCATGCTAGTTTTTTGTGAGACTAAACAGTAATGGTTTGAGCTACATTCTAAAGCTAGTATTGGAAAAGGCTATCACAGAAAATAGTTATTGGTTTATATTTCGATGAGGGGAGACCTGATTATGAGTGAACTATTTCATTTACAAGTTTGGAAGAGGGAGAAAATGTGCCACGCTTTGGTGTTTAGACTCCATCATGATGTCATCATTTACTCTAAGGGGTAGTGAGGCCGGCAGCAGATAGGATACCCTGGGTGTGATGGTAGTGATGGAAATATACTGGATGTGATTAGGAGTGGACTTCTGAGGAGCTCGACCTGGACCCTGTTGAGGAGGAATGGAGGAGACTGGGTGGAGGAGGGTTGCAGCAATCAAACTGAAGCAACAAAATGGATGATTGGTCTATAGAGCTCATGGTTAGATAAGCATTTAAAGTGTAAGAGTAATCAGCTGATCACCTGAGGAGGAAGACAGAGAGAGCGAAAGAGAGGGAGTGACATGAATGGATGATGACTAATGTATGAAGAGTATGAAACTGTTTTTCTGCTTTAATTTACGCTGAGCTTCATTCAGGAGGTAATGTTACGCATTCTGATTTAGTTTGTAAACCTGCAAATTACTATTCAGCTCTGAGCACAAAGTACATCACAGTCATATGATAATGTCATTTTTTTTTTGCATTAATGTGATTATAAAACAAAGTTTTGGTAAGAAGTTTTACCCTCGTATTTCTTTAGAACATAGTTCATGGACTCAAACGATGTAGGATTCCTCCTCCTGGGATCCTGGTGTATGTTTAGGCACTGAATTGTGTATTGACCTTTATTAATTCCTGCTATACATAGTGTGGAAGAAGTTACATTTACCATTCTGCAGAATCATAGTAAACAACTTCATCAGCACACTTTTGATGCTGACACAATGAAGTCTTATTGATTTAGGGCGTAACAAAAGGTCATTTTTCTCATTCTTTGTACAAGCTGTAGCCTGTACTAGACATGAAGAGAGACTTTCAACAGCTGAATTATGGGATGCATAGTAATCAATGAGGTAATCAATTTGGAGTTTCTGCTGCACAACATTGCTCCTTTTGTTATAAAAAGGGTGTCACATACTTTTTTTGAATTGATAAATGTCCCAGAGGGGAAATACCATTAAAGCTCAGAGGGAAGGATACCTCACACAGACTTAACAAATTGCAGAAACCTTCTCCGCAGCATGATGAATGGTGATTCTGTCTCTACCTGGGTGTCAACTGCGGTCTGCAAACAGCTCAGTCATTGCTTTTTTCATCAGGGGTGGTGGTAAAGGAATCACTCTTTTACAATTGGTTGTGCGTGAGGTAACTTACTGAACTGGAAGGGACTTTAAAAAACCGGGAAATCCTCGATTAAGTTGTTATGTGTGGAGAGATTTGAAGCTTAAGTGAAAGTGAAAGGATGTTGAGAAAAGTAGGACAGCTCAGAAATAGAAGTGGGTGTCATGTTTAGTGTGCCTTCAGTATGTCAGAGTTGACTATTGTCCTTAAAACGCTGCATCAAGCATCATGACAGCATAGATTGTGAGAAGAGCCAAGTAACAGAATACAAGAATCCACACAAGAGCCATATAAGGACGTGTGTCTCACAAAGATGATGTCACCACCAGCAACTGCAGGGGCTCCCCTCTCATTTGTAGGAATGTTCTGTTAAAACTAAGTGGGTGTGTTCACACAGGGAATGGCAGACAGACAGATAGTAGGGTTTGTGGCCTCAAGCGAAACAGGCAGGTTACTTTAAGTTAAATGAAGTGAAAGAAAACTATAGAGGAAGAAGAATGTTGCGTAACATCCAGAAAAATTACTAAAGAGGAACTTTGCACAACTGCTGTAAGTTCATCGGGGAATGAAAGGAATTGATGGAAATGAAGGCTTTGGCAGCTGTTTGAAAGCATCAGCGGTAGATAGACAGCACTAACTGAAGAGAGGGTGAGGCACACAAAAAAAGAGAACTTGAACAGTAAACAAGAAAGAGGGGAGGCTACTTTTGTGAGTGCTGATCTAACTGAAGGCTTCCTGTGTCAGCACCATGGGAAAGTCAGGTAAGTGAAAACTGCACCCTGAAGATTTTCACTTTGATTGTAGCAATTTGGCCTGAGTTAGAACTTTGCCCTCATGAAACTTTGTGGGGCTTTTTTTATCTAATATATGTGTGATTTTTACTTTGAAAAGGGTATAGGACATTAAAAAAAAGTAATCCTTAGCTAAGATTCAACTTGTAGCATGCTAAGTAGGCTCACTGCTTTGGTAATTGTCAGTGGGGCAGTCTCAATGTGCCTATTGTCTGAGCAGTCAAGAGATTGTGAAAAGGCCAGTGAGTGATAGGCACCACTCAGGAGGGGGGTTGTGTGGATGACGTATTCTTCATCATCTGTCATGGAGTTGTACTCAATGTCTGAGGTCAGCACGCCTTCAGGTGCTGTCAAGAGCTTTTGTCAGTTTCAATATCTGCCTGAAGTGAAACAAAGGCAGGGGAGACAGCAGAGGACTACTCAGCTCCTTTTTTCTCTAAATGCTTTGTATTTGAAAACAACATTTAAACAATGTTAAGATATCTTTTGGAGTTTAGTAGGTTGAGTAAAAATAATACAGGGAGAAAAATAAAAATGAAAAGGTTACCATTCTTTAACAAAAGAAAAAAATACATACCTGGTTTGCTTATCTCAAGATCTCTAAATCTACATCAGCATTTTTATTCAATTTATTTTTAATCATTTTTAACTGTTTTCATCATCACAATTCAAAATTATAACAAACATTTAATTCAGTTGGAAATTAATTAAAAATTATTGGAATATAAAAAAAAGACTTTCATTTAAATTCAGCAATTCTAATAATCCATAAATTGACCAATTTTTTCAAGCATAAATAAATTTTTACTGCTAATCAACTCAGTTTAAAGAGTATACTATGCCAAAATCAGGTACGAAAAACACACCATAAAATGCAAACAACCAAAAATTAGACTGTGTCTCAATACAGTATAAGATTGAGTTTCCCTTTTGAATCCTTATGTTTCATTCTAGTGTCTCATTTGTCTCTCTCTGGCTGTCTAACACATCCTGTCTTTGACCTGTCTGTATCTTAGCCTCGAAGCAGTTTGCACAAGAGGTGCTGCAGTGCCACAATGAGTTCAGAGGGAAGCACCAGGCTCCTCCACTGAAGCTGAGCAGCAAGCTGAGCAAAGATGCAACCCGGTGAGTTCATGAACACGGATCAAACCAGAAACCTGAATAGCGAGGGCTTTGCTTACCAGTGATTGTTAAAGTGATCTGGATAACAGCGACATTTTCAGCATCACCCGTCAAATCATATAACTACAAAATGTAACTCAGCATTGAGGTTTGTTTTGATTGTGATAATGCATTGTGTTGCCAATTCATTTTTACTAATTGCAGCTACATTACTAATACCAGACAAATCTCTGAGGAGAATGCAGACCTTAGGTAACTGTTTATGACATACAATTTTATGAAATGAATATAATATATGGGAGTATACAGTCATAATGAGACCACACAATCAGTTTATTCTTTAATGGATCTTAATATGACAAAACTGAAACTGTAGAACATGATGGTTAACATATTGTCTCTCCTGTTTCAACTGATGTTCGTAAAGGCACTTACCACTTTATTTTATAATATATAATTCACCACTGATGAGGAGATAGTTATTCCCTCATCTGCTAATTTCTTATGAATTGTTGTGGTAATAACATATAAAGAAATAGTAAACTATATCGGAGTTAGGAAGCTCACTAGACGTATGATGAGAAGCTGGAGTCTGTCTTGTCAAAATGCAACATTATCTCTTTTGATGAGGGACACACCTAGCTTAGCATTAGATACTGTGGTTAACTATTGACATGGCAATCACATGATTTCCAATAAACGCTTTGGATTATAAACGGTAATCAGATTTTATAAGGCCAAGATGTTGACACTTGATGTTATACACTGTTGTGATGTTACTACATACTGTAAATTTAAACTTGATAAAAAACCAACAGGTGAGATAAGGGAGGGAGAAAGGTGGATGAGACGGGTCAGTGTGTGACCTTTAACCTAAGGGAAAAAACAAGATTAGAAAACATACTCCTATTTCCTTGCAGTGATTAACTTTGCAACATCTAAATCGTTAATGTAGATGGTAGTTTAACCGGTTTTCATATCAGACCTGTTACCAAAAGCTGTTAGACGAACTGTTTTCAGTGCCTACCTTGAATAATTACACAAGATACAAGCTCTGAGTTGATTTTAAACTGTTTACACGGAGGGCGTAGGCTTCTGGGAATGCTGAATCTTAAGAGGTGATGAGCTTTAAAGTTTACTCAACCACTTACAGCAGAAATCTCTCCAGTGCAGGAGTGGATTTTGTAACTGGATTAATAGTGTCTTAGTATAATTTAGCAGTGCTAACAATCACTTTTCTCTGCCCATAGTTATGCTGAGAGTCTGGCCAGCACACGGATCCTAAAACATAGTGTGGAATCCAGCAGGGGGAGCTGTGGAGAGAACCTGGCATGGGCCTCCTATGACCAGTCCGGTACAGTAAACTCACAGTAAACACACACACTTATATTTTATATGCTCTTTTTATTTGATCCTACTGAGAAGCTTGCAGTTTGTTTTAAGCTCTAATAGGACACACTCCTCCATATATTGTAGGTTATAGTCAATGAGGCACCCTGAAAGTGAACAGCTGGGATCTATTTCCCCTCCACTTCCCACTGTGTTTTAGACACCATGACTCACTGCAAAAACATGTCAGCAGGGGACTCAAAGTGATTCATAAAACATTCTCCTACAGCGCAGCACTCAGTGACAAAAAGTGCAGCGCTGTTAACATGTGCTGAATGAGATTTAAAAGCTCCAGGGTGCAGTCTTCTCACATCACTGTCATTATAAACATGTATGAATATGATCTGATTTCACTTTATGATGAGTTGACACTTTGTCATGTGCACATGCAGGGAAGGATGTGACAGACCGCTGGTATGATGAAGTGAAACAATACAACTTCAACCGTCCTGGATTCTCCTCGGGCACGGGTAGGCTCAACACGAGAGTGTTTGTGTCTGTCTGTGTCTGTCTTTCTCACTTTATATTAGAAGTCAGGGTTTAAACTCCTCTGGCCAACAGCATAATTACAGCAAACCAGCCAATCAAATGAATTGTAAATTATGGAATTATAAGTAATCATTGGATCTTTCTGATATTTATATGCATATCTAAATATATAACAATATGGGATATGTAAGATTACACCCTGAATAATTAAATATTATATTTAAGGAATACTTTACCCATTTGCATTAATCTTTGTATCATTAGAAACCTGGTAGTATTTTTGAATGGTCGTGCATCCCGCCCTCATTTTCCCCTGAGATGGGAAATCTTTGTATTTCTAAGTCTGAAAAGGAGCTTACGATGACGCAAAAATCGTCATTTTGCGTCATTGGAAGCTGTTAAGGTTAGCAGGGTGAAACTACAAGGCTAGTTCCTCGTATTTTCGACCAGTGAAGCTACAGACCAATCACAGATCAGTGGGTGGGAACTCACGCCCAGAATCAAAACTTAAAGTCCGCCATATTGCTTGGAAGCTATGCTAACAGGCTCTATGGAGAAAGCTGATAATGGCGAAAAAATATAAATATAGCGGTGAGACGGCTGCTGCCGACAGGTTAGTCTTGTTTCTCGGCTTCCCCGGGGCCGCCGCTGGCCCCCGGGGCCACCGCTGGCCGCAGCCTATGGACACAGACATAGAGTACGTTTTCTGCCAGGAATTTCCAAGATGCTAATTCCTTCTGGAAGAAATCTCGGAATCAGTTGAGGAAACTGCCGTATGTGTTGAAGTAAATATGTCTATAAACCTGACCTTAGTGGGAGTGGCCTGTGGTTCTGTGCATTGTGGGATTTGGTGTCTTTCATCCACATGAGCGAAAAAGACACTTTCTGCCATTTCTCGGCCAAGAAGGCACCAACTTCAAAATTAAATTTCACATTTCTACTACATATATGACCCAATGTCAATACAGATTCATGTTTCAACGGGTGAAGTATCCCTTTAACATTAATATTAGTTAATCAAATAATACACAGCAAATTCAGGCCTAAGGAATTAACTCTCTCTCAAGAGTTAAAATCAACTCAATTTGAGTGTATATGTGAGACCATCAAATAAACTCTAGGTCTTAGTTAAAGTCACTCTATTCTGCTTTAGGCAGAAAACTAGTTTGAATATTTTCAATGATTATTAATTTGTGTGTTTTTTAGGAAAAATGTCAACGTTGGCTAAAAGTAAACATGACACACATCAAGCTAGTTTATATCGGGCTTCAGGACTTTTTGATTGGCATTCATATTCTGGCACTTAATATCCCAGAGAATATCAAGGGAATAATCAGGAAGTGAATTACAACTAAAATAACTGTACTCGTCTGTTAAAGTTTTGGAAAAATAAAGCTTTGAGCTACACATTTACCACAATAGGAAATATATTTTTCTAATATTTCAAAAGCAACTACCTCTGTTCAGCTGGAATTTGCAATCATTAGTTAAACATAGTTTGTTATATGCAAAATAACATTTCAGTCCTGTCTAATCATGTCAAACACTATATAATATGCTAATATTCTTTAAATGTAACCTAATATTCTTTAAATGTATTTTTCTCAGTGTATAGTTTCTTTTTTTGCTCTGTTTCTCTTGGTCATTCTCTTGATCGTTTTCAGTTTCACATTTACCCAGGCAAAGCCAAGGTTGTTGTTATTCCAGTGCTGTTTTCACACAGTCAGAGTGCACATGACTCAGTGACTGGCCATGGGGAAATTTGGGGGGAATCACAGTCCTCTATCACTCCTCAGGTCATATGACATTTCCAGTCCACCTTTATTCCTTCAGAAGGTTTAATGGTTTCCAGTAACATCAAAGTCTGTTTAACTTAATCATACACACGGATCATATAAAGTTCCTTGATAGAGAAGAAAATAAAAAACTTATAAGATAAAGGAATGGGGGGCAAAGGTTTGGAATAGGTGAGAGAAGAATTAAGATTCCTAAAAGTATAAATATTTAGAGGAACTGAAGTCCATGTGCACTTGGCTTCAACCATGTCCTGTCCTGTCTTTTTTTTTTTTTTTTTGTTTACTTTCCCTGCCTTTAATTCCTCTCTATTTACAGTATATGTTTGTTTTATTTCACTGTCCTAGGCCACTTCACAGCGATGGTGTGGAAAAACAGCACAAAGCTGGGTGTGGGTAAGGCCACAGCATCAGACGGTTCTTCCTTTGTGGTGGCCAGATACTTCCCGGCTGGGAACATCACTAACCAGGGACACTTTGAGAATAATGTCCTCCCTGCTCAAACCAATCCCTAAAGATGTCTGAATCCCATCAACTTGACTCGAGCTCCAAGGCATTTATTCCATTTTGAAGTTATCTGCTCTCACTGATAAGCAGGAACACCACTTCTTGCGCTGTAGAAGAGCTATCTTATATGGATTTTATAAGATGAGATGCACTCAGGCTCAAAGTCCTTTGCTTGTATTTTGAAAATGGATCCGGGTATGTGAAGGTGTTTACAATGAAAGAAGAAATGCTGTTTGACATTGCAAACAAAACCTTTCCAGATTCCATAACCATGACTTTGATGGTCATTTAATTTGCAGATGGCAGTATTTTATTAATTAATACCAATAAATTCCTCTTTCACACACTGAAAGTTATATCTGTGAATCACATCTGTATTTGTGGAAGAATGGAATCACCACATTTACATGTGAAGTCATTCCTTTTGATTGGAATCAGGGTTAGACTGCAGTGTTCAGTCAAACAACACTGCAGTCAGTGACTTTTGTGCTCTATAACTTGTTCTGTACTAACAGACATTTATTTGGGATCTGTTAAGCAAGAGCGAGAAAAAGTAGAAAATTGGAGTTGTATTCATAATGAATTCTTTTTTAAATCTCAGTCTGTCACAGCAGTAAAGTGTAACTATGACTAATAAATGAACATTTTGGACAATATAAGTTCTTGTAAATATAAACACTGACTAAGGATGAGCTAAAATAGATTTTTTTTCATTGTTGTATTAAAGGTTGAAATATCTTTGAGACTATCGTACAATTTCTGGTTTAGAAACTGTTGTTGTTGTAATGTCCAAAATGTCTTCTTTAATATCTAAATAGTGCCTATTCAAAACTTTAAAACATGTCATCTTCATGAGGCAATGCAACATACTTTTTAAAAACCCATTACCAAAAACCATGATTTTCGTTCATTATGATTCCAGTCATTTGTCCTGGCCTTTGTCACACATGAACAGCAGGTGTTACATGACAATTAAGTCATTTTTCAACTACATGAATAACATTTTCTGTACTCTTTTTACTTTATGGTAGAAATTACGAAGAAGCAAGTATAAGGTTCCAATTTTGTGTTGAAAGTTGGGTTTGTTTACATTTGGATCACAAATGTCATCAAGTAAGAAGTCTAAAACACTTTTTTTCTAACTTTTACTTTTGAAAACAATATAATAAAAACATTTCAAAGATTTTTTTAAAGATTGTCTTGGGATTGGTGAATAGGCGGTCAAATTCAGAAAACTGGAAAAGTAAAAAATGTTCAAATCACAATGTTTGTGTATCTGCAGAATATTACAGATTTGCAGTACGACTGTGCTGATCTGAATGTTCACTCAAGTAACACCATTCTTTTCAGTAAAAAACAATTCTGCCACACAGACCAATCCCACGTTGGAGCAGACTTTATTTAGCAGATACTGGGGATGCAACATACAGTAGCAGCGATACAGAAGAGTCAGTGGCGTTTAGGCTTTATATGATGTGGGAGGGGGTCAATGGTCAAATCCTCCTCGCCACTTACATGGTCAGCTCCTACATGGAAAAGAGAAAGAGAGACAGAGAGAAAAGAGATTTTCAAACAAATGCTTATGTTGGTTAATCAAAAAAAGGGAAACATATATGAAAGATATGATAAAATTAATATAATTTAGTGTTTGAACTGTTTTTTGGAAGGGAAAACAAGAACACAAATCAGTCTTTCCTAAAATTGAAGAAAAAATAAGATGAAATAAGCTGCACTGTGATGTAAAACTCATTAAATAAAGGAGTGGAAATTACACTTCTTGTCCTTGATCTTAAGCCAGCATCATCTTGCTTTCCACCCAATCAAGAAAAATTAACCTGCGTCACAGAACATCTCCATTATATGAGTTGTTGCTGCCATCTAGTGGTCATCAAACTGCACTGATGACCTACAGAAGTGTAGAGGTTGCTCAGTTACTGGGGAGAAATTCTTCTTGTCATTTGTCCTCCACTCTTTCTCCTATACGGCACACCCCCTCTGAGCACTGTTTACTTACCATGACTCATTATATTGTTCACCATCTGCCCTCCCTCTACCCCCCTCCCCCACAACCACTCTTTAGCCCCCCTTTCCTCCTCACCATGATTGCATTCACAATGTCATTCTTGTTGTGTTTTAGTGCACGGACAGCCTTGGCTCGTGACACGTTAGCCTGAGCCATCACCAGCTCAATGTCCCTCTGTTCAAGACCCCCCTCATCCACCTGATGAGCAGATACAAAACATAACCAGAAAAAGTATAAAAAGTTTACAATAGAATACAATATTTAAAGTAATTGTAATGACACTAATGTGGGAGTTATTTAGACTATTTGAGACAGGAGGACCAGTACCTCTTCTTCCTCCTCTTCACTCTCCTCTTTGATGGTGAGGCTGGGTGGGACAGGTGGAGCCAAAGGTGATGAGGTTACAGGCACCTTGAATTTCTCTGCTGCTGCTTTATGAGCCTGCTGAGACAGGTCTTCAATCTGAGAGCAGAGAGGAGGAGGAGAGAGGGAGGTTCAGAGGCAATACAACACATGCTTGATTAAAAAAGAAAGAAAGAGAAAGAGAGAAAGAATGACCTTTGCCTCTCCAAATACAATGTAGATGTCTGACGCAGGGCTTTTGAACACATCTGGTCTGCTAATGACAAACAAGATACTCTTGGACTTCCTGATGGTGATTCTGGTCACACCATGTACCGGCTTCAAACCCAGTTTGGACATGGCCTACAGCAGCAGAGAGAGGGGAAAAGAAAGATGAAATTAAAACTCTTACAAAAAGGAAAAACTGCTTCAAAATCATATCCTATAATTCTATTCAGTCCTTTTGATATAGTCAAAGTCTGACCTTGCGTGCCTTCTTCTCACTGCGACTCTGTTTCGGTCTGTTTAGCCCTTCATCTGCAGAGGAGATTGACTGGAGAAAAATAAAGAAATATAAGTTAGTTTACTTTAATTATGTATGTTAATTCCATGTTAGTTTTGCAAACCTATCATGTGTAAATTATGCGCATGCTTCTTAAATGCAGCATGCATTAACATTCAAGTTGAGTAATACAATTTCCAGAGTATCATTGTAAAGATTTTTTTTTAAATCAAAACCTAATCTGATAGGGCCATAGACTGTATAAAAAGATGGGCAACACGACAGCTTCCCAAAAGTGAAATCAAAACATTTGGAGCTGCAGACTGGCTGAAGAATGGGTCATAAGCTCCGCCTCCTCCATGTTATGAGATGGGACATGGCTCAAACTGAATTTAAAATAAAGGTCAAATAAATATTTCTTGAACATGGTTTCTGCCATAATAGTTAGTAAAATAAAAGTTTATTTTGAATTAGTTTTATGTCGTGATAGACAGCTCTGGTGACAAAAGCAGCTCCTGTGTCACTGTGTGCACCTGTTTAGCAGAGTTAGAGGAAACAAACAAAAAAAAAGTAATTGATCTCTACACTTAATATTGTAAGAGTCTACTTCAGACTGAAATAAGAATCTCTTCTCCTTTAACTGCACTCTGAGGGATCTTTGTCATTTTACTGGTTAGTCAAAAAGGTAGGCAGAGACTACTGTGCTACTCTGGCTCCAAATGACATCACGAGGGCAATATGTCAGAGCCCATCATCCTAATAAAATATATGGATAACACTATTTACACGGAAATGTATTTCCAAGCAGAATACATAGACTGACCTGGGGCTCTGATGGTCTCAGTGGTTCTGGCTCTTCTAGCTCAGGCACTGACCCCTCGCTCTCTGACTCATTACAGGAAGTCATCACGGAGCCTACACAAGACAATATTCAAGAACATATTAGTGAGGTGAGCTTTATTGATATTGCTGTAGAATATAATCACCATAGAAGCAGTAATGATGACATTAGTGAATCTATCTCATTAGTGCCATGCTGATGAAGAGTGTTCATTTACAATACAAAAGCTCAGCAGAGAATTTAATTAGCCCATGGAAAATAGATGTAATTATATCTCTATACTATGTAATTTTGCATTAGACGCAATATGTTATTTAATACAACAGATTTTTAGCCATTATTCAAACAGGGACTTTTAAAATGGAGACAATTTATATTTTTTGTAATGTTGTTTGTCATTAAAGCAGAGCTACTTTAAGCTACATCTACCTAATTCATCATGACATTGAAATGTTGGACCAAATAATGTGAAACTGCTTTTACTTTACTAAGACAGAAAGAAAACAAATACTTTATTAACTATATGAAATGGCATTAAGGGGATTCTCTCCCTAAATTATTCGGCAAAAGATAAGAGACAACTCACAATTGTTTTTGAAGGATAGGTTGATCTCTTCAGAAATCCTGTGACTGTGGTTGATTGGACAGCCTGACTGTCTGTCGGTGATTTTGTGGGCGGAGAAAGGCTGTAACTCCAGTTGATTAGATGGACCCGAATCTTTTTGCATGGATCCATTTTTGTTTTCTGCAACTGCACTGGGCTGAGATCTGTGACTGCGTGGCAGCAGTCCAACATCCTCCTCACTGTCTGTGTCCTCCTCAGCCATACTGGGACCTTACAATGCACACATTAATTGATCAGATTTGTATAAGGAAGCTCATATTTGACTTTACATTTACAAACTTTAAACTTTAAACTTTAAAAATATCAACAATATAATCAAATGCATGCACATAAAGCACAAACCTCACTACGGCAACTTTAAACACACACACACACACACACACACACACACACACACACACACACACACACACTGTAATACCTCAAAAACTATTTCACACACAAGTACATTAATGTACACACATACACATTCTAAAACATTCAACAGTCTTCATATTCAATTGATATTAATTAAATTTAACTGAATTGAGTTTAAATGAATTAAAGATTAAAGATATAATTATTTCCATACTCACCTCTGCACCTGCCTTGTTTGCTAGATGTGTGACCCTGCTTGGTTTTTTTGTGAGCCTGGATGTTAAGATTAGGCTGAGACTCTGAGAAGGAATGAGATTTTGGACATGATATTGTGTTGGAAACACATGCTGAATCAACAGTCCCCAGGACAGGTGAAGACGACTCCTGGGTAGGCTGAGACAGGCTCAGTGGCAAGGCAGTGGAGAGTGACGGTGAAGAAACACTTGTGGTGGATGTAGTTGATGTATAAAGGACAACAGTGACTTCCTGGAGGTTGTTGTTGGGAAGAAATTGGGAATTAGAGGCTTGTTTTGAAGTAGGGGAAGGTGAGAAAAGTGTAGGGTTGGTGGGGCACAAAGGCAGTGAAGACTGCTGCTGGGCTAAAAGCGCAGGTTGGGATTCCTGCACTGGTGTGGGAAGATCATCTTCAGGGTCTGTTGAAGCGCAAGGTATGGGGGAGGAGGAGGAAACATGAGATGTTGAGGAAGAAAGTGGAGTCAGAGAGCATGATGAGATATCCTGGGTTGCTGGGCTGTGATCAGTATCTATATTGTTGTCATTAATGTCCAATGTAATTCCTCTCCGACTATCAGATAGGGGTCTGTTATCGAGAACCTCCTGTGCCTGATGTGGTTCATGGTTCCTTGTCATCACAACATTGAGGTTGTGTGGGGTATGCAAGGATAACTTGTAGTATCCATGGGTAGGATTTTTGACATCAGGAATGGAACTGTTCTCCCCCTGGATCTCTGAACCAGATTCAGCCTTGTCTGATCCAGTTGTCCTCAGTTGACAGTCAGACACTGAATCTTTGTCATTTGCCTTTTGGCCTTTCTTAGTTTTAGAATCGTCTGTGATTCCCTTTGACCATCCATCTGCTGTTGTGTTGAAGGGAACAGATGGTTCCTTTGGATCATCAACAAATTCAGGACTAGAGTCAGCATGACTGCCTGTCTGGAATGCCCTATTTTCATTTTGCTTCCCTCGTCTCCCTTTCTTAGAAACATTTGGTGTATCTTTGCAAAGTCCCTCCTTGGGTGTGTGGCACGCAAAGTGTTCTGGCTTGTTCTGTGCAGAAGATGTCTTTCTTCCCTTTTTGTTCTTCATGACTTTCTGTTGACCTCCGTCTATTGCTTTCTCCTCTGCTTTTTCCTTTTCATCTTCTTCCCCTGAGTTACAAACAACACACTGCTGTCCTCTAAAGGCATCTTTAGTCTTTGGTTCATCGACAAGTCTGTCAGTCACAGGACTGACTTCATCTCTTTTTTGGTGAG